CTTTCGGCGGCGAGCGAGGGGGGAAAGTGAAGGGGGCGGGCCTTCTCGGGAGGCTCTGAAGGCCGCGGGCCTTCCGAGAAGTGGTCTGAGCCTTCCCCGAAGACACGGCACGCTTCTCAGAAGGCGCGAGGGCTTCTAAGAAGTCCCGCCGCCTTTGAGAAGGCCGTTTCCTTCTCACTTCCCCCCCACGCTCGCCGCCAGATCGTTCAACCCTGAACGATCGGCGGCGTTTCGATCGCCAGGTGATTACATAGTGGCCGACTCTGGACACTCAACCTAGAACGCCCGCGGCGGGGTCGCCGTCGCGTCGGCACGACATAAGCCTGCCGAAAACCGATACCGCTACTACTCCTTGGAACTCTCCTCGGGGTGCGTTCTGACCAGGATTTCGAGGCAACACCCGTGCAGCCACCGTGCTGCCAGAAGGGGAAACTGGAGAAGGAACGAAGGGGCGTCTCTGGCCACGGCGAGCCTCGGCCACGGAGAGGTTCCCCGACCCGAGCCGAAGGAGCGACCCGAAAAACCGAGATGTCAGCTCCTGAGCCCAGAGCGGTGTTCTTTGACAGCGCATGTTTCTGCTTCAGCAACTTGCTCATACATCGCAGCGCATCTGGCTGTATGTGATCCATCCGTCCTTGCTGCTTCCCTGTTCCTGGCAGGCGCGTGCGGCAGAGAACGCAAACGATGCAGGACCAAAAAACTACCTGGCGCACCTCACAACGCGTTTGAACTGCTTGGCCCCCCTGCTCGAACAACAGCGGTGCTCACACAGCGTGCGCCTTCTCGTGGCGAGGCGCCCTGGGAGCCAGCCAGGGAGCGCCCTGCCGCCTCCTCTGGAACCTCCCTGCCGCCCAGCAGCGGGTGCGGCGGCGGGCACCGGTTGAAGTCGTCGGGGCAGTGCCGCTGGAGCGTCATGCTCCACCTCTCCTTCGCCGCAGCCCGGGGCACCGCGGCGACAAGGGGGGGGCGCGTCGGGGCACGGAGGCGCCCTGCCCTCCTCGCCCGCGCCCCGCCCGCCTCCACCTCGCCCTCCGCGCGCCCCCGTCCGCCCTCAAGCCAAAACGGCCGAATGCATCGATTCGATGCTCCTCCCGCCGCCCCATTCCTACTCCTTATAGATCAGTCCTCACTGTCGCGCCCCGAGGCCAGTCGGAAGGGCGGGGCGGGCGTTTCGCCTGAGACCTGAGACGTCCTGGCTGTTTCTGATTATGGAGCTTACAAACTGGCAACACCTTCTCAGATGGCGGGCGGGTGGTTCTCAAAATGTTGCTCTCGCCCTAGCGCCGCGCACACTCGTCTTACAAAATTAGAGATGATTCGCGAATTGACGACAGGTCGTTTTCAAAATGATGTTCTCACCGTGACGCGCGCTCTTCCTAAACAGTGCGAGAGCTTCACCGATTGAGGACATGTCGTTTTCAAGATGCCGATGCCGCCTTCACGCCCTGAACATGTTTTGGTAATATGTGTATTTATATATAGCTATACGACCACCCTTCGGGTGGTAAGGAGGTTCGGGGGGGGGAACCAACGTCTCACTCGATCGGTCTCACTATCGATCTCAGTATCGATGTCACTATCGGTCTCGCTCGATCGATCTCACTCGATCGATCTCACAATCGATCTCACTCGATCTATCTCATTCGATCGATCTCACAATTGATCTCACAATCGATCTCACAATCGATCACACAATCGATCTCACATTCGGTCTCAATATCGATCTCACTATCGATATTACAATCGCTCTCACAATCAACGTCATCATCATCATCATCATCACCATCATCATCAACATCATCAACATCATCAACATCAACATCATCACCAACATCGTCATCATCATGAGGGCTCCGTCATCATCATCATCATAAACATCATCATCAACGTCAGCATCATCATCGGGAAAACATCATCATCATCATCACCATCATCATCTCATCATCAACATCATCATCATCATTATTATCATCATCGGGACACAGTCATCGTCATCATCATCATCATCACCAGCATCATCATCATCATCATCATCAGAATCGGGACACCATCATGATCACCATCGTTCTCATTATCAACATTATCATCAACATCGTCATCATCCTCGGGACACCATCATCATCATGATCATCGCATCATCATGATGGACATCATCATCATCATCAACAACATCATCAGCATCATCATCATCAGCATCATCATCATCATCATCATCATCATCATCATCATCATCATCATCAGCATCATCATCATCATCATCATCGGGGCACCATCATCATCATCATGAGCAACATCATCATCAACATCGTCATTATCATTATTATCATCATCGGGACACCATCAGCATCACCATCATCATCATCACCATCATCATCATCAGCATCATCATCGGGACGCCATAATCATCATCAACATCATCATCATCAACATCATTATCGCCGGGTCACCATTTCCATCAACATCATCATCACCAACATCATCGGAATCATCATCATCATCATCATCATCATCATCATCATCATCATCATCATCGGGACACCATCATCGTCATCATCATCAACACAATCATCATGAGCATCATCATCCTCATGATCGGGACACTATCATCATCGACACCATCATCAACATCATCATCATCTTCATCGGGACACCATCATCATCATCTCATCATCATCATCATCATCATCATCATCATCATCATCATCATCATCATCATCATCATCATCATCATCATCATCATCATCATCATCATCATCATCATCATCATCATCATCATCATCATCATCATCCTCGCGGGACACCGCACCGCGGGACACCGCGGGACACCGCGGGACACCGCGGGACACCGCGGGCCCCGGCCGCCCGGAAGGGAATCATTTGGTCCGGCCGCGCCTCAGCCACACGGGACACCAGCGGGACACCGGCGGGACACCGCGGGGCCCCGGCCGCCCGGAAGGGAGTCATTTGGTCCGGCCGCGCCTCAGCCACAGGAGACTTTCTCTCGCCCGCCCACGCAGCTTCGCCTCGCACGCACGGCACGCACGAACACGAAACCGAAATCGATTTCCCGGTAGGGGGGCTCTCCGTTCCACTTCGATCTCACCCCCTCACCTCCGATATAGAAATAGATCACGCATTGGAGACAGGCCGTTTTCAAACAGTGGCTCTCGCCGTAGCGCCGCGCACTTTCGTCTCACAAACGAAGAGCTACACGGATTGAGGGAAGGATGTGTTCAAAATGCCGCGTTCGTCTTAACGCCGCGCACAGTCGTCCTAACAAGTGCAACAAATTTCAATGGTTAAAAGCGGTTCCTTTTCACAGCGTGGCTATCGCCTTAGCGCCGCGTGCGTTCGTCTTCCAGGAGTTGTGTTTTTGGAATGGTTCATGACTATCAGGGCGCAACAGTTACGTTGATTCCCAGGAGCGGTGTTCTGGCACGATTCAGGATCGCCAAGACACAACAATCAAGTTGTTCCGCGGCGGTGAAGTCCCGGGAATGGTGTTTCAGCACGTTGCAGGATTTCAGACGGTCGCGTCCCGACGTGGCAGTCCCATCAGTAGAAATGAACCCTTCTAGGGGACTATGAAGAGAGAGCTTGGAAAAGAGGGTTACTCCGACATCGTTCATTAATCTTGGGATTACATGGGTCTTCCTCCTCCTCCTCCTTCCCCGCATCCTCCTTCTCCTCATCATCAGCATCATCAGCAGCATCCGGGTCACCAACAACATCATCACCAACACCACCACCACAACCACCATATCAGCACCATCATCATCATCATCATCATGATCATCATCATCATCATCATGATCATCATCAGCATCATCATCATGGTCATGGTCATGATCATGACCATATCAACACCACCCACATCATCATCAGCAGCAGCATCAACGTCAACATCAGCATCAGCATCATCACCATCACCATCATGATCATCAGCATGATCGTCATCAGCATCAGCATCGTCATCAGCATCACCAGTATCATCAGCAGCATCACCGCCATCAGCATCATCAGCATCATAATCACCAGCATTAACATAATCAGCATCATCATGGTCATCATCAGAATCATCACCACCATCATCCTCATCATCATCATCAACATCATCATGATCATCATCATTATCGTCGTCACCATCATCCAACACATTATCCTCATGTTTTGCCTCCTCCCACTCCTTTTCCTGCTCCTCCTCCTCCTCCCCCTCCTCCTCCTCTTCCTCCTCCTCCCGCTCCTCCTCATCCGCCTCCGCCTCCAACTCCTCCTCCTCCACTTCCTGCTCCCCCTCCTCATCATCATTAGCATCATCAGCATCAGCATCCGCATCATAATCCGCCAACCACTTGGGGATCATCGGCGCGTGAGATGCTTCCCCCTCCCCAAACCCAGAGCCCGGTCCGGTCGATTTGGAGGGGGGCGGGCGTCCGGCCAGAGCTCATCCGGGGGGTCCAGCCCTTCCCGGGCTCCTTTTGGAGGTCCACGACAGCTTCTGGGGCCGCCCAAGAAGCCCCCAAGACGGTCCAAGAGGGCCCCGACGCCCAGGATGGCCCCAAGACGGCCCCAGAAGCCTCCCAGACGGCACAAGAAGCCTCCAAGAGCACCCCCAAAAGGGGCCCAAGAGGCCAAAATCATCGAATCCCTGTGGGAAAACCACATTTTTATCATGCACGTTTTTCGGCCTTCGCGGCGTTGAACACGGCCCCAGAGTACCCCAAGAGGGCCCGACAGGTCACCAAGAGGCGCTCAAAACGGCTCGAAACGGCCCAAGAGGCTCCCAAGACGGCCCAGGAGTGCCCTAAGACGGCCCAAGGAGGGGCCCAAGAGGAGCCTGAATCAACAATCCTAGCCTTCTGCCCCAAAGCGGCCCCAGGGGGACCCAAGAGGCGCTCAACAGGGCCCATGGAGCCCCCAAGAGGCCCCCCAAGAGGCCCCAAGAGGACCCCAAGAGGCCCCCCAAGAGGCCCCAAGAGGCCGCCAAGAAGCTCGAAAGAAGCCCAACATACACCTTGAGGCAGGCAACTTCTCACCCGCAGCCCAGGCACCAAGGATCCCAGGCCGACAGCTGAGGCACGGTGGCGGGATGGGCCGAAGGCAACTATCTCTCCTTTTGTTGTTATTTCTCTCTCTCTCTCTTTTTCTTTCTTTTTCTTTCTCTCTCTCTCTCTCTCTCTCTCTCTCGTTATCTCTCTCTCTCTCTCTCTCTCTTTCTCTCTCTCAATATATATACAAATATCCATATATGTAGTTGTGTAAATATGTATATATATATATATATATATATGTAGGAACTGCCGCGGTCATCTACCTCGATCCAAAAGAAGAAGATGAGAAGGACGACGAGAAAGAACAATAACAAAAATTATCCCGGCAAAGCAACCTAACAGCGATGTGTAGAAGCATCGCTGGAAACATTGCCTGTGGTATTCATGTAAGAGCGCTGTTGTAGAATTCTGGTGTTCTCGCAGTCGCATTCGGATTCGCAGTGGCAGTCGCAGTGGCAACATCAGCGGCAGTCGCAGTGGCACTGCCAGTAGTTGCAGTAGCAATACCTACACTAGCAGCAGCAACAGCAGCAGCAGCAGCAGCAGTAATAGTAACACTAGCAGTTGGCTCCGGGCATTCAAAATGTGGCCCGGGAGTGGAGTTCTGGGAAGTGGAAAAGCACGAAGTGGCCTACAGTTGGCTCCGGGCATTCAAAATGTTGCCCGGGAATGGTGGTCTGGGAAGTCCAAGAGCACGAAGTGGCCTACAGTTGGCTCCGGGCATCCAAAATGTTGCCTGGGAATGGAGTTCTGGGAAGTCGAAGAGCACGAAGTGGCCTATAGTTGGCTCCGGGCATTCAAAATGGGGCCGGGAATGGAGTTTTGGGAAGTCGAAGAGCACGAAGTGGCCTACAGTTGGCTCCGGGCATTCAAAAT